GGGCGGGCGGGTGGGACGGGTGGGCGGGGGCCGCACCCCTTCCGGGAGGTTCATGATGACTTGGTGGGGAGCTGGCTGCAGGACTGGGGAGAAAGGAAAACAGAGAATATTAGAGAATATTAAAGAGAGTATCTGGAGTTCAGGGTTGAACTGCGGGGGTCCTTGGTGCTCTCCGAGATGGGTGGTTTTCTTGCAGATGTTTCGTGACCCAACTAGGGAACATCATCAGTGCCAGGAAGGAAGGGGTGGGGTTGCTCCCTATTGATATGCAGTGGCTAGAGCAAACAACAGCCTGGTCAAGGAACAACCACGAAGAAAATGACGCTCCAATCAATGCCGATATATCAAGCCACTTGTATAAAAACAGAGACCAAACCCCTCTCCCTTCTAGCACTGACGATGTAACCCAGTTGGGTCATGAAACGTCTGCTAGAAAACATCCAAGCTCAGAGGGCACCAAGGAGCCCACAGTCCCCCTCCTCATCTTCCTCCTATTTCTTCTCCTCTTCCTCCTCTCCACAAACCCCTCCTTTCTTCCTCTGATGATGTAGCTGGATAATAAAACATCTGCATGACCACAAACAAGCTTAGAGAGCACCAAGGACTCCAGTTATCCCCCGCCTCTTCTATTTCTATTTCTTCCTTTTCTCCTCCTCCTTCTCTTCTATTTCTATTATTTCTATTTCTTGTTCTTCCTCCTCCTCCTCTTCCTCTTCTATTTCTATTTCTTCTTCCTCCTCTTCTATTTCTTTCTATTTCTATTTCTTCTTCTTCCTCTTCCTCTTCTTTTATTTCTATTATTTCTATTTATATTTCTTCTTCTTCTACACCTCTTCTATTTCTATTATTTCTATTTCCATTTCTTCTTCTTCTTCCTCTTCTTTTCCTCCTCTTCTATTTCTATTATTTCTATTTCTTCTTCCTCCTCCTCATCTTCTATTTCTATTTCTACTTCTTCCTCCTCCTCCTCCTCCTCTATTTCTTTCTATTTCTATTTCTTCTTCCTCCTCCTCTTCTTCTATTATTTCTATTTCTTCTTCTTCTTCCTCGTCCTCTATTTCTTTCTATTTCTTCTTCTTCTTCCTCTTCCTCATCCTCCATTTCTTCTTCTTCCTCTTCCTCCTCTTCTATTTCTATTATTTCTATTTCTTCTTCTTCCTCCTCATCTTCTATTTCTTCTTCTTCTTCCTTCTCCTCCTCCTCCTCTATTTCTTTCTATTTCTATTTCTTCTTCCTCTTCCTCCTCCTCTTCTATTATTTCTATTTCTATTTCTTCCTCCTCCTCCACATCTTCTATTTCTTTCTATTTCTATTTCTTCTTTTTCTTCTTCCTCCTCCTCCTCCTCTTCTATTTCTATTATTTCTATTTCTATTTTGTCCTCCTCCTCCTCCTCTTCCTCCTCCTCCTCCTCCTCCATTTCTTCCTATTTCTTCTTCTTCCTCCTCCTCCTCCTCTTCTATTTCTATTTCTTCTTCCTCCTCCTCTTCCTCCTTTCTCTACCTACTCCAATCCTCACCCCCCCTCCCTCCTAGCTTGAACGATGTTACCTATTGGTTAATGAAACGTCTGCAACAAAACGAAACCCAGCTTAGAGAGCAACGGGGACCCCGCCATCCTCCTCCCCCTCCCCGCAAACCCTTCTATCCCTGATGACACTACCTAGCTGGGTCATGAGACGTCTGTAAGGAACCCGCCAAGCTCAGAAAGCACCAAGGGTCCCAAATTGTTTCTCCCCAGCCACTCCCACTCCTCGTCCCCCCAAAAGCAGCCGAGGGGAGCAGAGGGGCATGAGAATTTTACCTGGCGGGACACTGTAACGGGTGGCATTCATGTCCGGCTGGGGCGAAGCCTTGTTCATGTCCCGGGGAGAGAGGCGGTAAGGCGAGCCCGATCGGGCCGCTGCGTTTTGCATCTGGGCTTCCTGATCCATGGCGCGCTTGACTTCGGCGTAAGGCATGTAGGCGACTGTCTTTGCTGGCAAGAGGAAAGGAAGAGCTTCCGTTATTAAGCGAGAAAGAGTATCTTTCCAGGCCGCCATTTTTATTTTTATTTAATTCACGTCCTTAGGAGTGGTGTGGTGGTTTAGTGGTGGAGCCCTCGCCTCATAATCCAGAGGCTGTGAGTTCCATCCTAGGTAGAGGCAGATATTTCTCTCTCTGGGCGCAATGAGAATATATCAGCTGAAAGAAAACTCCGCTCTGGCAACAGGACGGCATCCGGCCAGTAAAACACTCAGCTCCATTCAGCTGCTCAGACTCTACCCCGCAGGGGATTACGGGGTCGTTAAAAGATGATGATGATGATATAAGCCTAAATGCTGAGTGGTGCAGTGGTCTACAGGCCTAGATTGTGAAGCTCTCATTTCACAATCTGAAGGTTGGGACTTCGATCCTAGGTAGAGGCAGATATTTCTCTCTCTGGGCGTAATGAGAATATATCAACTGAAACAAAACTCCGCTCTGGCAACAGGACGGCATCCGGCCAGTAAAACACTCAGCTCCATTCAGCTGTTCCAGCTCCACCCCACAGGGGATTACGGGGTCGTTAAAGGAAGAGGAGGATTTAATTCATGTCCTTAAAGTACAAACTCCAAAAAAGGGATTTTAAAAAAAAGATAAAACAATACAACCAAACTAAACGAGCTATTTAAAAATGTACATAGGAAACAAACAAAAAAAAGAACACTCCACAAGTCGTCCTTGTCTTACGACCACATTTGAGCCCAACACTTCTGTTGCTAAGCGAGACAGTTGTTAAGCGAGTTCCAGCCCATTTTACGACCAATTTCATAAATACAGGTAGTCCTCAACTTGCAACAGTTCATTTAGTGACCGTTCAAAGTTACAACGGCACCGGAAAAAGCGGCCAATGACCATTTTTCACACTTACGACCTTTGCTCACATCCCCATGGTCACGTAATGAAAAGATTAAGACTCTCGGCAACTGACTCGCACTTATGACCATCGCTGTGTCCTAAGATCCCCTTTTGCGGCCTTCTAAGCAGCGAAATCGATGGGGAAGCCAGATTCACATAATGACCATGTTACTAAGTTATCAACGGCGATGATTCACTTGGCAAGATGGGTCGCAAAATGGGACCAAACTCACTTAGTGAATGTCTCCCTGAACAACATAAATTGTGGTTTCCTTTGTGGTCGTAAGTCGAGGACTATGTGTACATGCCAGCTGCCAAATACCTCAGGATGTGACTGCTTCAAAATGCAACAAATTCGGCGCCCGACGCATTTCGAAGCAGAATGCAGTTCGCGATTCCCTCTTTTTTCCAGCTGTTTTCTCGGTACCTGCCGGTTTTAATATTCGTCGCGTCATCCGAAACAAATGAACGACAAGTACCGAGGTACCCCTGAATCTCAATTTTGATCACGTCCCTCCTCCCTCAGGATGCTACGACGGTCGTTAAGTGTGAAAAAACGCTACCAAGTCACTTTTCACAGCGCCGGTCACTTTTGAACAATCACTGAATAAACAGATGTAAGTCGAGGAGGACTAATGGGCGGCTAAAAATGGGCACGATTAGAACCGGCGATGCTACCTTCCGATTTACGACGGAGGAGCAGAATACCACTGCGGCTGCTTCGATGCCCGATTCCAAACATGGTTTAAGGGCCCTGCTGGCAGGCAGCAAGCCGAGTTGGTATTTTTAGAACAACTGCATTCCTCGCTGCGCCTCCCTGGTTTTGGCCTTGGCACAACGCTGGCGGGATTTAGCTGGCACGTGCCCTCGGCCTGCCCGCTTTCTCAGGCTCCCCTGGGAAACGTAGAGTCTGTTGTTGGGGTCAAACAGCTGGCAAGGCTGCAAATCGACACCTCAGAACCCTTCTCCATCTCGCTTCAGGATTTTGACCCGAAGCCCGGGCAAGAGGCAGCTGTGGAAGGCAGCCTGGGAGAGAAACGTGTGGGACTGGCAGGGTGGGGAATTCTGGGAACAGAAGCCCACCCACTTAAAGCATTCTGGCTGGCGGATTCTGGGAGTGGAAGTCCACCCCTCTTAAAGCAGACTGGTTGGGGGATTCTGGAAGTGTTCAGTTCAGTTTATTTGGCTTGNAGTTCGATCTTGACCTGCTCAAGGTCAACTCATCCTTCCATCCTTCCGAGGTGGGTAAAATGAGGACCCGGATTGTTGGGGGCAAGAGAGGCTGACTCTGTAAACCGCTAAGAGAGGGCTGTAAAAGCACCATGAAGTGATATATAAGTCTACATGCTATTGCTAACCCTGCCCACTGCCAGGAGTTCGATCCTGGCCGGCTCAAGGTTGTCTCAGCCTTCTATCCTTCCTCGGTGGGTAAAAGGGGGACCCAGATTGTTGGGGGCAAGAGGCGGACTCTGTAAACCGCTCAGAGAGGGCTGTAAAAGCACTGCGAAGCAGTATATAGGTCTAAGGGCTATTGCTACCTTTCCATCTTAAGACCATCACTCACACCCAACTGGTCTTTTGAAGGCCAAGGAGCCCACCAGCCCCTGCTTTTCTGCACACCTGCGTGGAAGCCAAGGCCGCACCCGTCCTGGCCTCCTCAGTTATTTACCTGACTTGGAATCCTGCTGCCTTGGCAGGCCGAGCGAAATGGAGCCTCCAGGTGGCTTGGCTGGTTCCTGGCCGTAAGAGCTCTGACTGTGGGACAGGTAAGTGCCCGGTGTTCCCTACGAGGGGGAGGAAGAAAGCACAGTTTGAGAGGCGAGGTATAATTACGCGCTGGGGACAGGCTGCAGCTGGGATGAATGCACCTGCCAGGCCTGGTGGTAGGGCGACGGAGAAATCCCGCAGGTGGGCTGAATACGGAACGGGTCTCTGATGAGCCTGGAGACAGCGCAGGTGTGGCACGCTTGGTTTCTACGGGTGGGTGTGTGAGCTGCTGGAGTGGGGGGGTGGGGTTGGAGGTTGTGGGGGGAGGCTGCTGCATGAAATACAGCTTGTCCTGGAGACACCCGTTTTGGTACAGACTATCTATAGGAAGAGCAATCTGAATTCTCCTCTCTCTCATGTCTTTCTCCACCTCTATCTATTCATCTAGGTTTATGTCTGTATGTCTATCTATCATCTATCTATCATCTATCAATCAATATATCAATTAATCATCAATCTTTCATCTATCAATCAATCATATTTATCATCTATCAATCAATNAGAAAGAGTGAAAAACAGAGGAGAGAGAGAAGAGAAAAGAGGGAGAGAAAAAAGAGAAAGACATAGAGAGGGAGATAAAAGAGAAAGACAGAGAAAGAGAAACAGAGAGACAGAGAAAGAGAAACAGAGAGACAGAAAAGAGAAAGAAAGAGTGAAAAACAGAGAGAGAAGAGATGGAGAGAAAAAAGAGAAAGAGAGAGAGACAAAAGAAAGAAAGAGAAAACGGAGAGAAAAAGAAAGAAAAAGACAGAGAGGGAGAAGAGAGAGAGAGAGAGGGAAAGAGAGAGGTTGTACTTGCAAATACCCTTTTCCAACAACACACACACACACAGGCATACACACACTCAGACAGACAAACACACACACAGACACAGATTTTAAAAAAAAGGTGGGGGAAGCTGAGTAACTTGATCCCTCTGACATTTAACAGGGGCTTCAGGGCAAGCCCAGCTGTGATCCTTGCCTGGAGTGCGTCCAAGGCCAGAGGAAACTTTCCATTACACGCCGCCCTCGTTGCGCACCGCCATGGCCACAGGACACGGTGGAGCAAACAAGGGAGGGCGGGATGCCCGTAGAAGAAGAAGAAGAAGACGGGGAGAACCACGCGGGCGTCCTACAAAGCAGGGGGTGTGGTCGAGCCGTTTAGAAAATCTGGCTGGGGAAACGGTCGTAAGTCGCTTTTTTCCCCGTCGATAACCTCGAAGGGTCACTAAACGAACTGTTGCAAGTTGAGGACCACCTGTTAACCTGTCCTACCAGTTTGGGTTGTGAGGGGCAAGCCTCCTGGTTCCTCCTCCTAAATGTATTTATTTGCCGTATTTTTCGGAGTATAAGACGCACCAGGGTTTTGAAGAGGTAAATAAAAAATAAAAAAAACCGTTTTTTGCACTGCGCAGGCCTCCCAAACACTCAGCACACCTCGTTTTTTGTGAAAAACGGGACCTGCAGAGAGTTTGAGAGGCTGGCAAAGTGCTCTTGGGGACTGGGGGCGGGGGAAAAAACGAGCAAAAAACGGCCCGTTTTTTTGTGAAAATGGGCCCGGTTTTTGTTGCCAAAAACAGGGCATGCATAGCCTTTAGGAGGCTTGCAGAGTGCTCTTAGGGACTGGGGGGCAAAAACGAGCAAAAAACGGCCCATTTATTCACTTGTTTTTCCCTTCCCCCAGCCCCCAGGAGCGTTTTGCAGGCCTCCCAAACCCTCTGCACATCCATTTTTGCTGCATTTGGTGTATAAGACGGTTCCACCACAAAACCGCGTTCGACTAAAGGGCGCTCGACGAAACCNCTCTGTATGCTGGTTTGTGTGTTCTCCAACACAACTCTCACAACGCTTCTCTGAACGCACTCGCTCTCCCAATGGGGAGCTTACCTAACAGTCCCTACTGGTTTGTGTGAAACGATGCGAACCGGTAGCATTTCACCCCCAGTTAGAAGGCAGCATTGCAGGCTAAACTCTGCCCACAGCCAGGAAGTTCGATCCTGACTGGCTCAGGGTTGATTCAGCCTTCCATCCTTCCGAAGTCAGTAAAATGAGGACCCGGATTGTTGGGGGCAAGAGGCTGACTCTGTAAACTGCTTGGAGAGGGCTGTAAAAGCCCAGTGAAATGGTTTATGTCTAAGTTCTATTGCTGTTACTTACTTACTTCATTCCTTCCTTCTTTTCCTTCTTTCTCTCCCTCCCTTTTCTCCTTCCTTTCCTTCTTTCTCTTCTTCCCTCACTTTCTTCCTTGCCATGATGGCGCAGTGGTTAGGATGAAGTATTGCAGGCTGACTATGCCCACAGCCAAGAGTTCAATCCTGACCGGCTCGAGTTTGACTCAGACATCCGTCCTTCTGAGGTCGGTAAAATGAGGACCCAGATTGTTAGGTGCAAAAGGCTGACTTTGTAAACCACTCAGAAAGTACGTATAGCCTTATAGGACAATATAGAAGTGTAAGTGCTATTGCTTCCGTCCTTCTCTTACTCTCCCTCCCTCTTCCCCTTCCTTCCTTCCTTTCCTTCTTTCTCTCCCTCCTTTTTCACCTTCCTTCCTTCCTTTCCTTGCAATGATGGCACAGTGATTGGAATGCTGTATTACAGGCTGACTCAGCCCGCAGCCAGGGGTTCAATCCTGATTGGTTCTAGGTTGATTCAGTTTTCCGTCCTTCCGAAGCCCGTAAAATGAGGACCCAGATTGTTGGGGCCAAGAGGCTGACTCTGTAAACCGCTTAGAGAGGGCTGAAAAAGCACTATGAAGTGGTATATAAGTCTAAGTGCTATTGCTATTTNGGTTAGAAGGCAGCACTGCAGGCTAAACTCTGCCCACAGCCAGGAAGTTCGATCCTGACCGGCTCAAGGTTGACTCAGCCTCCCGTCCTTCCGAGGTGGGTAAAACGAGGATCCAGATCGTTGGGGGCAAGAGGCTGACTCTGTAAACCGCTTAGAGAGGGCTGTAAAAGCACTGCAAAGCGGTGTATAAGTCTAAGGGCTAGGTGGCCATCTTGTCAGCGAGAATACGGACAGGTGAGTTTCTGAAATGGAGAAGAGAGAGACCCTCCCCCAGTGCCCGGCCTGCGACCTCACCTCTGCCTCTCGGGGTCCCCGTCCACCTCTTCATCGGCACTGCAAGTGGCGCTGGAGTCATTGTCGGAGCTGGGTTCCATCCTCTGGACGCTGGCCGGGTGGCTGGAGCCGAAGTCACCTCCGTCCGGCTCCAGCTTCTCCTTCAGCCCCTCCTCGTCCCGCTCTTTGGCCTCGTTCTCCACCTTGACCTGAATGTCTAAGGGCGGCTTGGTGTCCATTTCAACGGGCTCCAGTTTGGTGCCGGCCGCCAGGTTGAGGACGGGCTTGGTGTCCACCATGGAGATCCTGCTCTCCGTCTCCATCAGCTCCTCCACCTCGGATTTGGCTTCCTCCTTCACCTGCAGCTCGGCTCCTTCGCTCTCGGCCGGCTTCGTGCCGGGGGATGCCGAGGGAGGGGAGGCGCTGGGGGATGGTTTCATGGCAGAGTCCTGCTCAGCCGCTGCCTCGGTGGTCATCTGGGAGGAGATGCTCTCCGGAGGGGCGTCTCCTAAAGATTTGGAAGTCTCCGTCGGAGAAGGAGACGGGGCGCTTTCCGTATCGGAGCTGTTTTCGGCACCTGGGAAGGCATTAATGTGAGCGTAAGCCCAGGAAAGTATAAGAGAATAACAGGAAGGGACCTTGAAGGTCTTCTAGTCTAGCCCCAAGCAGGAGACCTTATCGCCAACTCGGAAGCTGACGTGGTGGCCATTTTGAGGCTTCAGTTTTGCTACCCTGGAGGCTGAGGGATTGGGAGGGGGCGGTAAGAGATAGTTGGGGTTTGGTAGCCAAAACAAAACACTTCCCCCTTGGGAACCAAGGACATTTCCACAGCTGGCTGGAGAAAGGAGGAGTAAAGTTGCCAGGCAACCGGATGGCACCTTGATTGGACCGTATGACTGGTTTGTTCGGGAAAGGGGGGAAAGTTTTAATTAGGTGAAAACCGCGGGAATATTCAGTGTCAATATGACATGGCAAATAAAACTGTTCTTTGAGGACTACCTGCCTTGACGTTCTGTTTGCTATGGGTGTATTACTTAGAACCCTGACACTTATACCATTTCAGACAAACAGTTGTTTGGTTGCCTTCTTAAAAACCTCCAGTTATGGAGCACCCACAGCTTCTCGTGGCAAGGTGTTCCATAGGTTAATTGTCCTCAATGTGAGGAAGTTTCTCCTTAATTTCTCCTTCTCTCACTTCATTAGTTTCCATCCATTGCCCTTCCTTCCTTCCTTTCCTTCCTTATCCCTCTACAATCATTGGCCTGGAAGGGACCTTGGAGGTCTTCTAGTCCAGCCCCACGCTCAAGCAGGAGACCTTAGATCATTCCAGACAAATGCCTGTCCAGTCCCTTCTTAAAAACCTCCAGTGTTGGAGCACCCACAACTTCTGGAGGCAAACCCTTTCACTGACTGTAATGGAGTCATAGAAAGGGACCTTGGAGGTCTTCTAGTCCAACCCCCTGCCTAGACAGGAAAACCCTATACCGTTCCACACCTGGTAAGTGGCGTCGATAGCCACACCCACCCCATCGGCCACACCCAGTGAGTGGTGTTCAGGCTGGCCACGCCCACCCAGTCAGCCACACCCAGTGAGTAGCATCAATCTGGCTATGCCCATCCAGTCAGCCACACTGGGAGGGGTGTCAAGATGGCCGCGCCCACCCCGTGAGTGACATCAAAATGGCCATGCCCACCCAGCCGACCACACCCGGTGAGTGGCGTCAATATGTCCCCGCCCACCCAGTCAGCTACACCTGGTTGACCTCAAAATGGCCACACCCACCCAGTCAGCCACACCCAGTGAATGGCATCAAAATGGCCACTCATTGATGCAGCCCTCAATGAAATTGAGTTACACACACACACACACACACACACACACACACACACACACACACACACACACCAGTTCTAGGCCCACCTTCGCTGTCTTCTGGATTCTCTTCCTCATTGGAGACCTCAATGTCTTCATCCTCCTGCGCGGAGACAGTGGACGCCACGCTTTCGCATTGTGAAACTTCCCGTTCCTCGCGCGGCCTTCGAGAAGACTGGGAAAAGAAACGGGAGACGGTGTAACTTCTGCCTTATGCAGGGAGTCCTCGATTTACGACTGCAAGGGAACCCCAAATTTCCGCGGCCGAGCAAGACGCTTGTCCAGCAACTTTGGTCCCATTTTACAACCTTTCTTCCCACAGACGTTAAGTGAATCACTGCAGCTGTAGTTAAAGTGAGTCACACAGTTGTTGAGTGAGTCTGGCTCCCCCCGCCCCCCCAGTTGACGCTGCTGGTTCGAAGGTCGCAAAAGGGGATCGTGTGACCCTGGGATACAACGACCATCGTCACTACAAAGCAGTGCGTGTCTATCTTGACAATCAGAATCGGACACACTGGTTTGAGATCGATGGCCATACAAATTGGATGGATGGATGGATGGATGGATGGATGGATGGATGGATGGATGGACGGACAATGAATGAACAGATAAATAATGAATGGGTGGATAACGAGTGAATGGATAATGAATGGATGGATGGGAGAATGAATTGATGGGTGGAAGAATGAACTAATGGAAAATGATGGCATAGATAATGGATGATGATGGATGGATGATGAACGAATGGATGGATAAATGCTGAATGGAAAGATAACAAATGAATGGATAAAGAATGATGGATGGATGAATTGATTGGATGGAAGAATGAATTGATGGAAAACGAATGAACGGATGAATAAATAAATAATGAATGAATATTGGATGGATGGACAGATGATGAACAAATGGATGGATAAATACTGAATTGACTGGCTAACAAATGAACGGATAATGAATGATGGATGAATGAATTGATGGGTAGAAGAATGAAATGATGGAAAATGAATGAATGCATGGATAAATAAATAATAAATGAATGAATGAATAATGGATGGATGGACAGATGATGAACAAACAGATGGATAATGAATATGGATGAATGAATTGATGGATGGAAGAATGAATTGATGGAAAATGAATGAAGGCATGGATAAATAATGAGTGAATGGATAATGAAAGGATGGATGGATGGATGTATGGATGGATGAATTGATGGATGGAAGAATGAACTGATGTAAAATGAATGACGGCACAGATAAATAATGCATGATGGATGGATGATGAACAAATGGATGGATAAATACTCAATGGAAAGATAACAAATGAATGGATAAAGAATGAGGGATGGAAGAATTGATGGATGAAAGAATTAAATGATGGAAAATGAATGAATGCATGGATGATAAATGATGCATAATGGATGGATGGACAGATAGACAGATGATGAACGGATGGATAATGAATATGGACAGTTGAATTGATGGAAGAATGAATTGATGTAAAATGAATGAAAGCATGGATAAATAATGAATGAATAACGGATGGATGGATGGATAGATAGATAATGAACGAATGGATGGATGGATGGATAAATACTGAAAGGATGGCTAACAAATAAACGGTTAACGAATGATGGATGAATTGATGGGTGGAAGAATGAATGGATGGAAAATTGAACGGATGATGGATAGATGGATAATGAATGAATGGATGGATGATTGAACTGATAGCTAAACAATGAATAAATGGATGGATGAATCAATGAGAATTAATAAATGGGTAGACGGATGGACGGATGAATAAATGAATGGATGGATGAATGGATGGATAATGAATGGATAGTGGGATAAGTAATGGAAGACTGAACGAATAAATGAATGAAATTCTTTGATACAGGAAGATGACCGAAAATTTATTTGTTAAATTTATTTGTTAAATGTCCCATTCCCATTTTTTCCCAGGCAACCCCCCAATTAATCTCCTGCGCCCNCTGGCTGGGGGATTCTGGGAGTGGAAGTCCTCCACTCTTAAAGCACCCTGGCTGGGGGATTCTGGGAGTGGAAGCCCACCCATCTCCAATTTCCCAAGGCTGAGAAACAGAGCCTCAGCTATATTTCAACATGCTCCCACCCTTTGATTTTATGGCTCACACAGCGAGAGATGGCAGAGGCTGACCCCCTGACTCACACACTCATCCAGGAGCAGCACATAACAGCTTCCCCACAATGCCCATGAGTAGAGGGGGTGGGGGGCGCCACTTCACCTACCATCCCACTCGATGTTCGGACTCTTTGAAGAGCCGCAGGGACTAGAAGATCTCCGGAAATCCACTTCCATCTGTTCTTGTCTCTGCCGCTGCTGCTCCTCCAGCACACTGGATTTGTGCATGGCCTTGATGTGCTGATGGAGGAGAGTGTAGCCGCTGGTCGGGAAGCCGGGGATCATGGGCAGCCGTTCCTGGGGTATGACAGGGGACAAATATAATCCATCAATCCTTAAGGCAGTGTTTCTCAACCTTGGCGACTTTCAGTCCTGTGGACTTCAACTCCCAGAATTCCCAAGATTCTGGGAGTTGAAGTCCAAAGGACTGAAAGTCGCCAAGGTTGAGAAACAGTGACTTAAGGAGAGGTAGTCCTCGACTTACGGCCACAATCTGGGTCAAGAATCTCCTTTTTTTTTAAGCAAGGCAGTTAGTTGTTAAGTGAATCGCGACCTTCTCAGGTACGGTTGCAAAGCAAAACGCTTCCGCTGTTAAGGGAATCATGTGGCTGTTAAGCGAGTCTGGCTTCCTTCATTTGAGTTTGCTTCTCAGAAGCTAACCAGTGGTGACCACGTGACCGCGGGATGCTGGAACCGTCATAAATGTGAACCGGTTGCCAAGCACCCAAATTTTGATCACGTGACCGTGGAGATTTTGCAGCAGTTGTAAGAGTGAGGACCAGTCCTATCTCACTTTGTTCGATGCGGTTGCAAATCTGAATGGTTGTTAAATGAATAGTTGTTAAGTGAAGGACTAGCGGTGTATCATCAGGGAAAATCAGACATGCTGACTGGGGGATTCTGGGAGTGGAAGTCCTTCCCTCTTAAAGCATCCTGGCTGGGGGATTCTGGGAGTGGAAGTCCTTCCCTCTTAAAGCATTCTGGCTGGGGGATTCTGGGAGTGGAAGTCCATCCTTCTAAAAGCAGGCTGACTGGGGGATTCTGGGAGTGGAAGCCCACACCTCTTAAAGCATTCTGGCTGGGGGTTTCTGGGAATTGAAGTTCTCCCCTCTTAAAGCCTGTAGGATGGGGGATTCTGGGAGTGGAAGTCCTCCCATGTTAAAGCAGCTGGCTGGGGGATTCTGGGAGTGGAAGTCCATCCCTCTTAAAGCATTCTGGCTGGGGGATTCTGGGAGAGGAAGTCCATCCCTCTTAAAGCATTCTGGCTGGGGGATTCTGGGAGAGGAAGTCCATCCCTCTTAAAGCATTCTGGCTGGGGGATTCTGGGAGAGGAAGTCCACCCCTCTTAAAGCATTCTGGCTGGGGGATTCTGGGAGAGGAAGTCCATCCCTCTTAAAGCATTCTGGCTGG